AGGAGACGACGACCGAGACCACGGAGACGACGTACACGACCGTGACGTCGGAGCTGACGTCCGCGCCTTCCACCGAGGCGACCGAGGAGGAGACCGAGGAGACCACGACGTACACGACGGAGACGTCGGAGGTGGTGTCTGAGGTGCCGTCCACCCAGGAGACGACGACCGAGACCACGGAGACGACGTACACGACCGTGACGTCGGAGCTGACGTCCGCGCCTTCCACCGAGGTGACCGAGGAGGAGACCGAGGAGACCACGACGTACACGACGGAGACGTCGGAGGTGGTGTCTGAGGTGCCGTCCACCCAGGCGACGACGACCGAGACCACGGAGACGACGTACACGACCGTGACGTCGGAGCTGACGTCCGCGCCTTCCACCGAGGCGACCGAGGAGGAGACCGAGGTGACCGAGGAGGAGACCGAGGAGACCACGACGTACACGACGGAGACGTCGGAGGTGGTGTCTGAGGTGCCGTCCACCCAGGAGACGACGACCGAGACCACGGAGACGACGTACACGACCGTGACGTCGGAGCTGACGTCCGCGCCTTCCACCGAGGCGACCGAGGAGGAGACCGAGGTGACCGAGGAGGAGACCGAGGAGACCACGACGTACACGACGGAGACGTCGGAGGTGGTGTCTGAGGTGCCGTCCACCCAGGAGACGACGTCCGAGACCACGGAGGCGACGTACACGACCGTGACGTCGGAGCTGACATCCGCGCCTTCCACCGAGGTGACCGAGGAGGAGACCGAGGAGACCACGACGTACACGACGGAGACGTCGGAGGTGGTGTCTGAGGTGCCGTCCACCCAGGAGACGACGACCGAGACCACGGAGACGACGTACACGACCGTGACGTCGGAGCTGACGTCCGCGCCTTCCACCGAGGCGACCGAGGAGGAGACCGAGGAGACCACGACGTACACGACGGAGACGTCGGAGGTGGTGTCTGAGGTGCCGTCCACCCAGGAGACGACGACCGAGACCACGGAGACGACGTACACGACCGTGACGTCGGAGCTGACGTCCGCGCCTTCCACCGAGGTGACCGAGGAGGAGACCGAGGAGACCACGACGTACACGACGGAGACGTCGGAGGTGGTGTCTGAGGTGCCGTCCACCCAGGAGACGACGACCGAGACCACGGAGACGACGTACACGACCGTGACGTCGGAGCTGACGTCCGCTCCTTCCACCGAGGAGACCACGACGTACACGACGGAGACGTCGGAGGTGGTGTCTGAGGTGCCGTCCACCCAGGAGACGACGACCGAGACCACGGAGACGACGTACACGACCGTGACGTCGGAGCTGACGTCCGCGCCTTCCACCGAGGTGACCGAGGAGGAGACCGAGGAGACCACGACGTACACGACGGAGACATCGGAGGTGGTGTCTGAGGTGCCGTCCACCCAGGAGACGACGACCGAGACCACGGAGACGACGTACACGACCGTGACGTCGGAGCTGACGTCCGCGCCTTCCACCGAGGCGACCGAGGAGGAGACCGAGGAGACCACGACGTACACGACGGAGACGTCGGAGGTGGTGTCTGAGGTGCCGTCCACCCAGGAGACGACGACCGAGACCACGGAGACGACGTACACGACCGTGACGTCGGAGCTGACGTCCGCGCCTTCCACCGAGGCGACCGAGGAGGAGACCGAGGTGACCGAGGAGGAGACCGAGGAGACCACGACGTACACGACGGAGACGTCGGAGGTGGTGTCTGAGGTGCCGTCCACCCAGGAGACGACGTCCGAGACCACGGAGGCGACGTACACGACCGTGACGTCGGAGCTGACATCCGCGCCTTCCACCGAGGTGACCGAGGAGGAGACCGAGGAGACCACGACGTACACGACGGAGACGTCGGAGGTGGTGTCTGAGGTGCCGTCCACCCAGGAGACGACGACCGAGACCACGGAGACGACGTACACGACCGTGACGTCGGAGCTGACGTCCGCGCCTTCCACCGAGGCGACCGAGGAGGAGACCGAGGAGACCACGACGTACACGACGGAGACGTCGGAGGTGGTGTCTGAGGTGCCGTCCACCCAGGAGACGACGACCGAGACCACGGAGACGACGTACACGACCGTGACGTCGGAGCTGACGTCCGCGCCTTCCACCGAGGCGACCGAGGAGGAGACCGAGGAGACCACGACGTACACGACGGAGACGTCGGAGGTGGTGTCTGAGGTGCCGTCCACCCAGGAGACGACGACCGAGACCACGGAGACGACGTACACGACCGTGACGTCGGAGCTGACGTCCGCGCCTTCCACCGAGGTGACCGAGGAGGAGACCGAGGAGACCACGACGTACACGACGGAGACGTCGGAGGTGGTGTCTGAGGTGCCGTCCACCCAGGCGACGACGACCGAGACCACGGAGACGACGTACACGACCGTGACGTCGGAGCTGACGTCCGCGCCTTCCACCGAGGCGACCGAGGAGGAGACCGAGGTGACCGAGGAGGAGACCGAGGAGACCACGACGTACACGACGGAGACGTCGGAGGTGGTGTCTGAGGTGCCGTCCACCCAGGAGACGACGACCGAGACCACGGAGACGACGTACACGACCGTGACGTCGGAGCTGACGTCCGCGCCTTCCACCGAGGTGACCGAGGAGGAGACCGAGGTGACCGAGGAGGAGACCGAGGAGACGTCGGAGGTGGTGTCTGAGGTGCCGTCCACCCAGGAGACGACGACCGAGACCACGGAGACGACGTACACGACCGTGACGTCGGAGCTGACGTCCGCGCCTTCCACCGAGGTGACCGAGGAGGAGACCGAGGAGACCACGACGTACACGACGGAGACGTCGGAGGTGGTGTCTGAGGTGCCGTCCACCCAGGAGACGACGACCGAGACCACGGAGACGACGTACACGACCGTGACGTCGGAGCTGACGTCCGCGCCTTCCACCGAGGCGACCGAGGAGGAGACCGAGGAGACCACGACGTACACGACGGAGACGTCGGAGGTGGTGTCTGAGGTGCCGTCCACCCAGGAGACGACGACCGAGACCACGGAGACGACGTACACGACCGTGACGTCGGAGCTGACGTCCGCGCCTTCCACCGAGGCGACCGAGGAGGAGACCGAGGTGACCGAGGAGGAGACCGAGGAGACCACGACGTACACGACGGAGACGTCGGAGGTGGTGTCTGAGGTGCCGTCCACCCAGGAGACGACGACCGAGACCACGGAGACGACGTACACGACCGTGACGTCGGAGCTGACGTCCGCGCCTTCCACCGAGGCGACCGAGGAGGAGACCGAGGTGACCGAGGAGGTGACCGAGGAGACCACGACGTACACGACGGAGACGTCGGAGGTGGTGTCTGAGGTGCCGTCCACCCAGGAGACGACGACCGAGACCACGGAGACGACGTACACGACCGTGACGTCGGAGCTGACGTCCGCGCCTTCCACCGAGGCGACCGAGGAGGAGACCGAGGAGACCACGACGTACACGACGGAGACGTCGGAGGTGGTGTCTGAGGTGCCGTCCACCCAGGAGACGACGACCGAGACCACGGAGACGACGTACACGACCGTGACGTCGGAGCTGACGTCCGCGCCTTCCACCGAGGCGACCGAGGAGGAGACCGAGGTGACCGAGGAGGAGACCGAGGAGACGTCGGAGGTGGTGTCTGAGGTGCCGTCCACCCAGGAGACGACGACCGAGACCACGGAGACGACGTACACGACCGTGACGTCGGAGCTGACGTCCGCGCCTTCCACCGAGGCGACCGAGGAGGAGACCGAGGAGACCACGACGTACACGACGGAGACGTCGGAGGTGGTGTCTGAGGTGCCGTCCACCCAGGAGACGACGACCGAGACCACGGAGACGACGTACACGACCGTGACGTCGGAGCTGACGTCCGCGCCTTCCACCGAGGCGACCGATGAGGAGACCGAGGAGACCACGACGTACACGACGGAGACGTCGGAGGTGGTGTCTGAGGTGCCGTCCACCCAGGAGACGACGACCGAGACCACGGAGACGACGTACACGACCGTGACGTCGGAGCTGACGTCCGCGCCTTCCACCGAGGCGACCGAGGAGGAGACCGAGGAGACCACGACGTACACGACGGAGACGTCGGAGGTGGTGTCTGAGGTGCCGTCCACCCAGGAGACGACGACCGAGACCACGGAGACGACGTACACGACCGTGACGTCGGAGCTGACGTCCGCGCCTTCCACCGAGGCGACCGATGAGGAGACCGAGGAGACCACGACGTACACGACGGAGACGTCGGAGGTGGTGTCTGAGGTGCCGTCCACCCAGGAGACGACGACCGAGACCACGGAGACGACGTACACGACCGTGACGTCGGAGCTGACGTCCGCGCCTACCACCGAGGCGACCGAGGAGGAGACCGAGGTGACCGAGGAGGAGACCGAGGAGACGTCGGAGGTGGTGTCTGAGGTGCCGTCCACCCAGGAGACGACGACCGAGACCACGGAGACGACGTACACGACCGTGACGTCGGAGCTGACGTCCGCGCCTTCCACCGAGGCGACCGAGGAGGAGACCGAGGAGACCACGACGTACACGACGGAGACGTCGGAGGTGGTGTCTGAGGTGCCGTCCACCCAGGAGACGACGACCGAGACCACGGAGACGACGTACACGACCGTGACGTCGGAGCTGACGTCCGCGCCTTCCACCGAGGCGACCGATGAGGAGACCGAGGAGACCACGACGTACACGACGGAGACGTCGGAGGTGGTGTCTGAGGTGCCGTCCACCCAGGAGACGACGACCGAGACCACGGAGACGACGTACACGACCGTGACGTCGGAGCTGACGTCCGCGCCTTCCACCGAGGCGACCGAGGAGGAGACCGAGGTGACCGAGGAGGAGACCGAGGAGACGTCGGAGGTGGTGTCTGAGGTGCCGTCCACCCAGGAGACGACGACCGAGACCACGGAGACGACGTACACGACCGTGACGTCGGAGCTGACGTCCGCGCCTTCCACCGAGGCGACCGAGGAGGAGACCGAGGTGACCGAGGAGGAGACCGAGGAGACCACGACGTACACGACGGAGACGTCGGAGGTGGTGTCTGAGGTGCCGTCCACCCAGGAGACGACGACCGAGACCACGGAGACGACGTACACGACCGTGACGTCGGAGCTGACGTCCGCGCCTTCCACCGAGGCGACCGAGGAGGAGACCGAGGTGACCGAGGAGGAGACCGAGGAGACCACGACGTACACGACGGAGACGTCGGAGGCGGTGTCTGAGGTGCCGTCCACCCCGGAGACGACGACCGAGACCACGGAGACGACGTACACGACCGTGACGTCGGAGCTGACGTCCGCGCCTTCCACCGAGGTGACCGAGGAGGAGACCGAGGAGACCACGACGTACACGACGGAGACGTCGGAGGTGGTGTCTGAGGTGCCGTCCACCCAGGAGACGACGACCGAGACCACGGAGACGACGTACACGACCGTGACGTCGGAGCTGACGTCCGCGCCTTCCACCGAGGCGACCGAGGAGGAGACCGAGGAGACCACGACGTACACGACGGAGACGTCGGAGGTGGTGTCTGAGGTGCCGTCCACCCAGGAGACGACGACCGAGACCACGGAGACGACGTACACGACCGTGACGTCGGAGCTGACGTCCGCGCCTTCCACCGAGGTGACCGAGGAGGAGACCGAGGAGACCACGACGTACACGACGGAGACGTCGGAGGTGGTGTCTGAGGTGCCGTCCACCCAGGAGACGACGACCGAGACCACGGAGACGACGTACACGACCGTGACGTCGGAGCTGACGTCCGCGCCTTCCACCGAGGAGACCACGACGTACACGACGGAGACGTCGGAGGTGGTGTCTGAGGTGCCGTCCACCCAGGAGACGACGACCGAGACCACGGAGACGACGTACACGACCGTGACGTCGGAGCTGACGTCCGCGCCTTCCACCGAGGTGACCGAGGAGGAGACCGAGGAGACCACGACGTACACGACGGAGACGTCGGAGGTGGTGTCTGAGGTGCCGTCCACCCAGGAGACGACGACCGAGACCACGGAGACGACGTACACGACCGTGACGTCGGAGCTGACGTCCGCTCCTTCCACCGAGGAGACCACGACGTACACGACGGAGACGTCGGAGGTGGTGTCTGAGGTGCCGTCCACCCAGGAGACGACGACCGAGACCACGGAGACGACGTACACGACCGTGACGTCGGAGCTGACGTCCGCGCCTTCCACCGAGGTGACCGAGGAGGAGACCGAGGAGACCACGACGTACACGACGGAGACATCGGAGGTGGTGTCTGAGGTGCCGTCCACCCAGGAGACGACGACCGAGACCACGGAGACGACGTACACGACCGTGACGTCGGAGCTGACGTCCGCGCCTTCCACCGAGGAGACCACGACGTACACGACGGAGACGTCGGAGGTGGTGTCTGAGGTGCCGTCCACCCAGGAGACGACGACCGAGACCACGGAGACGA